CACGTGAATGCCATGTTGGAGACGATCCCGGTGCGGAGCGAAGTGGACGACTACATCGGCATCGACTATTCTCTGATCAGCGATCCCGTGGTGACGTCGCAGAGCCTTGACATGAACTTCAGGGTAGGGCTCGTCGCCATGTCGCGACAGAACTAGGTCAGAGCCGCTACCAACGGTGCGTCTGTTCTGCAGGGGATGTTCTTTGACTTGTCCAACCAGAACCAGCCGCTGGTGAACTATGCAGCGGAGCCGGTCATCAGGGAGTACGACCGCATGGTCTACCTCGCTCTGTCTGAGTTCTTCTTCGACAGCGGGATGTTCGCCTACTACTCTGCTGGGATATTCCAAATGCACATCGTCAACGAGAAGGTGAACCAGAACAGTCGGCTCACTGGACCCGACTCACACAGAACCTCAAGACGACGCTAAGATTCAGAGACAGAAATTAAAGTTCCTTCAGGGCCGAACTGATTCAAATCTGAAGTCAGAGAGTTACTCTTCACCAAAGTAAAGAAACCTTCATCATAATAAGGAACTTTAATGTTTTAGCAACCAACATCCACAATGTTGGTTGCTAATGACGTTTGTCACTAAGGACAAATGAAACGTTTCTGATCCTCGGGTCTTTAAACTCCAACATCCACAATGTGAGCCCAGTGCCAATCTAGAATGACCTCAAATGACCTCTGAGAGGAGCTGAGGTTTGTCATCCTCAGTGGAGGTCCCTGCATATTCAGGTTAAAGGTCACGAGAGAACAATTAGAGAAACACAGAACAGAAATGTCTTCTCTTCTTGCTTCTGTGACCATTTTAGATTCACTTTAGGTCCAGTTTTTTCTTTAATTCAATCAATCAACCCAACCAATCAATCACTAACCAGTCAACAATCAAAGATACTGAACTTCTGCCCGTTTTCCCTTCAGATGCCCAAAGATCTGGAGGTGCTGCTGAGGACGACGTATTTCGGAACCATCATGATGATGGTCAGCAGAACCAGAGATCCATCAGAACCAGTGGTTGTAACCCTCAGTAGTTCCTGATGTTCTTGATGTTGTTCCGTCAGAACCCAGCTCTGGTGGACGCACCGCTGTCCTTACAGCTTGCCGTCAACTCGCCTCCAAAAACCTCCATCAAAACGTCCGGGGCCACCGTTCTCATGACAGCCATCGTCAAGGTGATGGTTCTGCCCCCAGGCAAATCTCCGGTCCAGCTCAGCAGCATGACCATGGTACCGAACACACACCACTACTCTGATATTGGTGGATCCTCAGTCTGATTGGTTACAGCCCAGTAGAACTTCCAGTTTACTGGAGCGGGCTGAACAAGAATTTAAATGGTACTAGTTCAAAAACAACTATTTTCTCTTTCTGCAGGAAGCTAAGTTTAATGCAAAAGTTTCCATGAGAGGAAAACGTCTGGCTGTGCATGCTGATCTACGCAGGTAAAGGTTTCACTTCCACCCTTTAAACACACATCCTAGTTCGAGACTTGAACCGCAAACCCTTCCTGGTTCTGGACTCAAACTGAAGTCACATCTGGTTTAACACTTAGGCTGTTTCCCCCAATAGTCCAGAAAACTCAGTTTAAAAAGTTTTTAAAGTGAGAGAATAAACGTTGATTTGAAGCAGCTTCAGCTCTGAGCAGTGTTTCTATGGTCGACCCGGTTCCAGTGGAACCAGAACATCTGCTCCACCTCCAGCTGCTGAGTCCAACCAGCATGTTCCCCTCCTGGCCTGTGGGGGCGCTGCACCAACAACCACTGGAGGAAACGACACTAAAACCTCTGAAGACACCGAGAGCAACTTCCTGTTTCACCAGCTGAAACAAGATGGAGGCGTCAGAGTTTAGTGATTTCTCTTTAGTCTTTGGCTGAAGACCAGGAGCCATTTCTGCTGCTAGCGCTAGGCTAGCATGTTAGCTTTGATTGGATTTATCCAGAATGCCTTGCACTGTCGTCCACTTCCTGCTTTGGAGCGCTCTCTGGTCCGCTTGGCGTTCACATTCAAACTGAACCAGAGTTCACTTCAACCAACCCAGACTGAGGCGTGGAGGACCAAAGGTCAGAGGTCGATTAGCATTCTCAACTCACCAACCATACTGGACTTTGACTAGACAGATGGGCCAGAGTCGGGTTAAGGTGGACTGAATAGGCCTGGTGTGAACGATGCAGCCTTAATTCTGAAACCAGATCTTGGTCTACAGTCAAATTTTGCTCCAATGCCTCATTTCTGGATAGATCAGACATCTTTGTTGTCTTCCAGATTTAAGATCTTCTCCAACCAGTCAGCTCTGGAGTCTCTCGCTGTAAGTGTGTCTTTACTTCCTGGTTTCAATGCCTCCTGATGGACCCACAGAACCGGTTCTGACCATCTGTCTGTCTGCAGCTGATTCCTCTGCAGGCTCCTCTGAAGACCATGCTGCAGATGTCCGTGGTTCCTCTCATCAACAGTAAGAACCCGCTCCTTGTCTGGAACCAGAACTTCTGAGTTCCAGCACTGCTCTGAGTGGTTCTGTTCTGGTTCTGAGTCTAGACTGGACCAAGAGGGGAGTCCGGATCCCGCTGGCTGATGGGATGGATTTCATCGAGGAGGTGGTGGAGTATCACAATGTGTGTTCACCTCTGATGTTTGCAGAGTTTTACATCCGTTTGTTTAATCTTTAAAGGCGATGCTTCCTTTGACAGATCGGGACCGGTCTATGATCTATACAAAACATATTCATTACAGTTTTTGCACAAACTCAATCAGATTTTCTTCTGGTCAGCTCTGGATATTAAGCCTTTTTCAAAATGAGCTGTTTTAGGAGCTCTCTCTCTTTAAACGCAAATAAGCTGCTGCTGGCCACGCCCCCTCAATGGTTTCACTGCACAAGAACGGCTGCAAACGGATGCAATTATACAACCAAACATCTTTGAAAAGCATTAGTGGAACCTCCTGCACAACCAATGAGAATGCAGCTCTAAAGGGGTTCACTGGGGTTGCCAGGAAACAGGGCAGTACCTGCTGATTTGTGATGCTATATTCAGGAGGATTTTGTAACGGCAAATTTTCCAGACACTAAAAACAACTTATAATCAAAACCACCTCTGTATTTTGAAATTGCTTGGGGTGTTTGCAGAAGCAGACGAGACTCAAACGGAAGCACAAGAATGTGTAAATTTTGCATCACAGGTTTCCTTTAATAATGGTTTGGGGATGCGATGTGCAGCTGGTCTCCTGACCGGCGCAGCTGACGGCAGCAACCAATCATCAGGCTGCGTTGCTCCACAGGGTTTCATCATGATCGGAGCCAACCTGCACTTCAGCAAAGGCCTGAGGGAAATGATGGCAGGAAGCAGCGACATCCAGCCCACCACCAGCAACACCACCAGCACCGCTGTCTAAGCAGAACTGGACCAGGCAGCCAGAACATTATGACCACCTGCGACCACCTTTTACTCCCCAACACCTTGGAGCTGCCACTAGAGGGCACCACAGAGCCGAGGGCAGCTAAGCATTGGTACTGGTTCTGTGAAAGAATGTGAGGGAGCATGTTTAGCTCTGTGTGTGTGTGTGTGTGTGTGTGTGTGTGTGTGTGTGTGTGTGTGTGTGTGTGTGTGTGTGTGTGTGTGTGTGTGTGTGTGTGTGTGTGAACCACCAGAGGAGGCTAAACACAGACTGGACCGTGGAACCGAACCTTAGAAGCACAGACGTGTGGCCATAGTCTTCTGCTGACCTGATATAAATAGATGTAAATATCGACAGGCTGATGCAGCAGCTGCAGATTCAACAAGTTTTACTGACACAAACATAAACCTGCTTTCTGACATTTTCCAGTTCAATCATTGTATTTATGAGCCAAGCAGATCTTCCTCTGAATCTCAGCTGAACTGCAAGGAGACTAAAACATTAACATGTAACTGAACACCTGGAGGTTTTTATGCTGTTCCTTATAAATAAAACCTCTTTGATAAAAACTCACTGTTGTATTTACAAGTAGACTTGATGATGTCATAGTTCAACAATGTCAGAGTTTCTGCTTCAGGCTTCACAGCACGGCTGGAAGCTCAATTCCAGTTTCATCATGAATTCCATATTTTCTGTTGTGGTTTTTCAAGATACTGAAGACTAAATTTACTAACTAAATGACTAAATTTAGACCAGCGCCATTTAGTTTCGGGTCAGCCAGTGTTTTGGGGGAAAGCTGTGATCTGAACAGCTCATGTTGTTTATGATCGGCTGATGTAGGTTATTAATGTTTACAATTTAATTCCAACAAAACCCAAATAAACTCAAGATGCAGAACTGTTTAAAAGGACACGGAGCTGATGCTGTTTCTCACCATGGCGAGAAACACCAGATCTTGATTCACTGGTGTGGAGGCCAAGTTAATGTGAAGTAATATTCAGTTATTGTTAAAACATTTTGTTTAATATGTAATTTAATAAGTGAATTTATTGAAGTTTAGGAAGAATTATTAGTACTGCATGTAGCTAATTTGTAATGTTTTGTTGTCAATTAGTGTTTTATTTTAAGTTGTATGTTTATAGTTTAAGTGTTCATTTCGCAATTTATGCAAACGCGGTGTGGACGCTGTAGCGTTAACAAGGAGAAAGGAAAGGCGCTGCTAGTTTATCTACAGAGCCACACGGTTTTTCAAACATAGTTGTTTGTGAAGGTTAGATAAGATACAACTGCTCTTGTAAAGGAAATCTCACAAAACTGTGGAATAAATTTTTGTTTTGCATCCTTTTTTCGGAGCGCTGTGGAAGTTTTTATTTTCCTCTACAAACACGCGAGTGGATACAGCAAAGAAACCTTGTGGCAACACAACTGGCTTTTTCAAATCGATTTTAATTTAATTGATGAAAAAACTGGAAGCATTAATGAATCAATATTTTTGGCAACTACAACTATCAAGCAGGATCTTGGTAAGTTAGACCCAGATAGCTTAGCGCTAGCAAGTGTCAGGCAGCAAACTGCCCACATCCAGAAAACTATGGAGTTACATTAGTGTCACAATTATTCAATCAAAAAAATCATGTCAACAAAAAACAGATATGTGATCAAAACTTTTGGATTGAAAATAAAATGTTTCAAACAACAATTACAATTTTTTAAAACAACATAAAGAAGCTGACTTGGAGAAATATAGTTAGCCAAACACACCTGGCCGTTAAAAGTGACTCTTCGTTCCCTACCTGTCCGTGTCTGACTCAACACCTGCTGCTCTCAGGTTCTGATCGTCCAGCTGGAGGAATCGATCTGTTCAGGAAAACCTAAAGCCTGTCCTGCTTCAGCTGCTCTCTGCTGCTCAGAACTGGACTGGGGAAATAGGAGAACACCAATTTAATTTCATAGCATAACCCAGCAAAGGGCATATTCCATCTAATGCCAAATAAAACACAGTATAAGACACACAAATCAAACAATCAAAAAAGACAGAAATGATGTGAATATCCTCCTTCACCCTGTGATTACCAACTTGGTTTTTCAATTTGCATCTGGAAGAAAATATGTATTTCAGTTACATTCCCTCCGTCATCCACAGCCGATTATGTGCTTTTAAAATAAGTATCTGCAGTCACTTAACGTGTGGTTCACATTAACGTGGACCTAACATGGTGCAGCGATCCGCTGTGTTCCCACTTTAGCTTCAATGCTAGCTAACGCACACAGATGATTACACAACAGTTTTAACACGTTTTCTCCACATACATTCAGCATTTTCCATATTTAATGCCACTGACAGGTCAACGAATTCAACATAAAGACACGCTGTCATTTTATGAAGATTACTTACCGTCACATTCTGAGTCCCCTCACCGAGGCCCGCGGCGAGAGGCGACAGACCGCGGCGAGAGGCGACAGACCGCGGCGAGAGGCGACAGACCGCGGCGAGAGGCGACAGACCGCGGCGAGTGGCGACAGACCGCGGCGAGAGGCGACAGACCGCGGCGAGAGGCGACAGACCGCGGCGAGAGGCGACAGACCGCGGCGAGAGGCGACAGACCGCGGCGAGAGGCGACAGACCGCGGCGAGTGGCGACAGACCGCGGCGAGAGGCGACAGACCGCGGCGAGAGGCGACACACCGCGGCGAGAGGCGACAGACCGCGGCGAGTGGCGACAGACCGCGGCGAGAGGCGACAGACCGCGGCGAGAGGCGACAGACCGCGGCGAGAGGCGACAGACCGCGGCGAGTGGCGACAGACCGCGGCGAGAGGCGACAGACCGCGGCGAGTGGCGACAGACCGCGGCGAGAGGCGACAGACCGCGGCGAGAGGCGACAGACCGCGGCGAGAGGCGACAGACCGCGGCGAGAGGCGACAGACCGCGGCGAGTGGCGACAGACCGCGGCGAGAGGCGACAGACCGCGGCGAGAGGCGACAGACCGCGGCGAGACGGTAGCTCTCCAGGACTGGACTTGAGCTCCCCTGCTTTAAAGGGTCACCAGGCCAATTCCTTTTATAGATCAGTGCATGATGACTTCATGGCTGGTCAGGTCTACAGCTCTCCTCCTCACACCTGATGGGAAAGCTGGAGCAGGCCTGAAACCACTTCAGGTGCCGTGATTGGCTGAATGCTCTGTGACTGACTGTCACTCTAACCAATGGAGCAGCAAAGGTGGGATTAAGGGCGGTTTTACCCCAGGTTACATCTGAGGTGATTTTTATTTGATTGAATAATTGTGAAGCAACTTTAAGTCCCTAGAAAAGCAACTTGCTTTCATGCTTGGCTGAAGTTAGTCGTCTCTGAGCTTCTGCTCCAGGATTCCAGGATCTTCCAGGATCTTCCGGGATCTTCCAGGATCTTCCGTCACATCAGACTTGTGAATAAATACTGTCACTTTCTCATATTTGATGTTCCCTGGAAAATGTTCTGATATGTGCAGTTAAGTATTGCTGTTATTTACTGTAACAAATGAAGCTGGAATAAAAACATCTGAAGAAGAAGTGGGTGTTACAGGATCATTTTACAAAACTAAAGGATCAATTTAAAGTTGAACAGGAAGTGGGAACGTTTCAGGTTTCAGGCCTGCTGTCCAGAAACTCACTTTGAATTATTCTCACTTTTTTGTGACCCATGAGCTTAAATTCAGACTTTAATCCCAGTTGGTTGTGGACTGATCAGCTACAAGTAGCTTTTAAACCAGTCAGGTTTATAGAACAGAACATTTCAGCAAAGTGCTTCACATCATAAAAGCACGATGCGGTCATCGATTATGAAACAAGCCATGAACATTACATTTAGTCAATATGATCAAAATCATCAAAGTTCCAGTTTCTACTATCAAAGGCTAAAAGCCATTTGTCTTGTTATTTATTCCTCATTCATGACAGAAACACATTATTCTGGATCAAATCTATCCATCTCTAAGATGTTTTGGTGGCTCTGATGTAACATTATTAATATTACTGAATCATATTTAGAGCTTGATTATAAAACTAAACACAGCTGAGTCATGGCAACAATCCACCAACACGCTCTCTGCTCAGATTATTATTATTCATAGAAATTAAGTCAAAACAGACATTTCTGTTGATAGACCATTGGTCATTGATGAGTTATTGATCAGATCTAGAAGTTATTTCAGGTTCCGAACTGTCGGGTCGGGTCGGTTCCGTCGGGTCGGGTCGGTTCCGTCGGGTCGGGTCGGTTCCGTCGGGTCGGGTCGGTTCCGTCGGGTCGGGTCGGTTCCGTCGGATCGGTTCCGTCGGGTCGGTTCCGTCGGGTCGGTTCCGTCGGGTCGGGTCGGTTCCATCGGGTCGGGTCGGTTCCGTCGGGTCGGTTCCGTCGGGTCGGTTCCGTTGGGTCGGTTCCGTCGGGTCGGTTCCGTCGGGTCGGTTCCGTCGGGTCGGTTCCGTCGGGTCGGGTCGGTTCCATCGGGTCGGTTCTGCATCACTTGTCTCTGATGCCTTCATAACCATGGAAACCACACTTCCTGCCCGCAATCCGGCAGCCAAAGGCCAGCGCATCCTGCACGCTTCCTCCTGCAGGCAGAAACGTTAATGGATCAGAACCGGGCCGGATCAGAACCAGAGAACAGGCCAGCCGCCTCACCGTTGGACAGCGTGTGGAGGACGCCGGCGTTGAAGGTGTCTCCGGCTCCCAGCGTGTCCACCAGCGTCTCAGGAAACGCGTCGGAGTGGAGCAGCAGACCGTCAGGACCCAAAGCGTCCGCTCCTTTCTCAGCCCAGGCACAGATCAGGACAGCCCTGAGAGACAGACGGGTCAGAACCAGAACCGTCTGTGTCGTTCCTCTGACCTTTGCTCCCTCACCCCTTCTTCACTCGAGGGTAGAGTCCTTTCAGAGCCGCTTCAGCCGAGTCGAAGCCAAATTGACGAGCAACGTCTTTGCTTACAAACACCTGGAAAACAACCAGAACCCGATCAACGACGGGTCGGACCGGATCCGTCCGAACCTGGACGCTTCCGTACCACGTCTCCGTAGGGGAAGAGCTCGTACAGCGGCTCTCTGGTTTTCTCGATCTCCACAGAGACGCCGATCCTCTGATGGTCAGGAAGCTGGGCGTTAAACTTCTCCACCTGCAGGATCATCTTCACCTGTTCGCCAGGGTTTCGGCCCTGACCCAGCAGGAGAGCAGGAAAACCAGTAAACACCCAGGAAAACCAGTAAACACCCAGGAAAACCAGTAAACACCCAGGAAAACCAGTAAACACCCAGGAAAACCAGTAAACATCCAGTAAAACCAGTAAACACTCAGGAAAACCAGTAAACATCCAGTAAAACCAGTAAACACTCAGGAAAACCAGTAAACACCCAGTAAAACCAGTAAACACTCAGGAAAACCAGTAAACACCCAGGAAAACCAGTAAACACCCAGTAAAACCAGTAAACACCCAGTAAAACCAGTAAACACCCAGGAAAACCAGTAAACACTCAGGAAAACCAGTAAACACCCAGGAAAACCAGTAAACATCCAGTAAAACCAGTAAACACCCAGTAAAACCAGTAAACACCCAGGAAAACCAGTAAACACCCAGTAAAACCAGTAAACACTCAGGAAAACCAGTAAACACCCAGGAAAACCAGTAAACACCCAGGAAAACCAGTAAACACCCAGTAAAACCAGTAAACACCCAAAACCAGTAAACACCCAGGAAAACCAGTAAACACTCAGGAAAACCAGTAAACACTCAGGAAAACCAGTAAACACCCAGTAAAACCAGTAAACACTCAGGAAAACCAGTAAACACCCAGGAAAACCAGTAAACACCCAGTAAAACCAGTAAACACCCAGTAAAACCAGTAAACACCCAGTAAAACCAGTAAACACACAGTAAAACCAGTAAACATCCAGTAAAACCAGTAAACACCCAGGAAAACCAGTAAACACTCAGGAAAACCAGTAAACACCCAGTAAAACCAGTAAACACTCAGGAAAACCAGTAAACACCCAGTAAAACCAGTAAACACCCAGTAAAACCAGTAAACACTCAGTAAAACCAGTAAACACCCAGTAAAACCAGTAAACACCCAGGAAAACCAGTAAACACACAGTAAAACCAGTAAACATCCAGTAAAACCAGTAAACATCCAGTAAAACCAGTAAACACCCAGGAAAACCAGTAAACACCCAGTAAAACCAGTAAACACTCAGGAAAACCAGTAAACACTCAGGAAAACCAGTAAACACCCAGTAAAACCAGTAAACACCCAGTAAAACCAGTAAACACTCAGGAAAACCAGTAAACACTCAGGAAAACCAGTAAACACCCAGTAAAACCAG